CCCCAAATTCCAAACTCCCCAAATTCCAAACTCCTCAAATTCCAACTCCCCCAAATTCCAAACTACCCAAATTCCAAATCCCCCAAATTCCAAACTCCCCAAATTCCAATTCCCCCAAATTCCAAATTCTCCAAATTCCACATTCCCCAAATTCCAAACTCCCCAAAATCCAAATTCCCCAAATTCCAAATCCCCCAAATTCCAAATTCCCCAAATCCCAAAATTCTCCAAATCCCCCAAATCCCAAAATCTCAAAATTCCCCAAATCCCAGAATGTCATCATTCCAATCCCAAACTTCCAAATTCCACCCACCCTAAATTCCATTCCCCCAAAACTCGAAACCCAACTCTTCCCCCATCTCTTCCTCAACCACCACAAGTCCGTAACAAGCCAGTAAGCATGAATCACCCTTTTGTGTTAAAAATCTCCATTTTGGGAGAGCGTGTAGAGGCGCATGTATGCAACGCGTGTTCCCGTGTAAGAAAAGCGGCGTTAGCGGAGCAAGGGAGAAAGGAGTTTCGGCGAAAGGGGGGTAGGGTGTTGTGAAATGCAAGGAAAGATGCAGTGGTGGTGTGGCTCGCAGGCGAATCAGGACCAGTTTCAGGTCTGCACTCACGTCATACCCACGTTTGCTACGTGCTGTCGACAAGTCACAAGAAGAAGATAAAGAGGACGAAGAGGAGGAACAGCGCGTGTTTCTTGACTTAAGATTAAGGGTTTCGAGAGAAGGACCATGGTCCGGTACGTGGTCACCAGCCTTTTGTTGCTCGGTGCGGTGACCTTCAGCAGAGGGCAGTTTAGGTGCCCGGAAGCGAAGGGCTTCTTCCCGGATCCGGAACAGTGCGATCTCTATTACGCCTGCGTGGATGGTAAGGCGGAAGAGAAACTGTGCAAGGACGGTCTCGTCTTCAGGGACGACAACCCTAAGAAGGAGTTCTGTGATCTGCCGGCTAATGTTCCTTGCGGAGATAGAACTCTTCTTCGTAAGTTTTAATATTCTTTTGCTGCAATCTTCTTGCTTTTAATCTTCTTATTTAACTTGGTGGAAGTAGATTAATGGGGAACGCTCTCTTGATTGCGGTGTTATGATGCGATGTTGCAATGAGACTGTTTTATAATACTCTGTATGGGGTGATGTTGTAGTACTCGTTCTTTGGTGGTGTTACTCACTGTCTGGTGTTCAATATTACAATATTTTATTATTTTGAATGTTTTAATACTTTAGTATTAATTTTTTTTGCATGATGGGATGTTACAATATTTTACAATACTTTGCAATATTTTATATTTTCAGTGTTTCAATATTTTAGTATTAATTTTTTTTGTATGATGGGATGTTACAATATTTTACAATACTTTGCAATATTTTATATTTTCAATGTTTCAATATTTTAGTATTAATTTTTTTTGCATGATGGGATGTTACAATATTTTACAATACTTTGCAATATTTTATATTTTCAATGCTACGTTTTAATATTCATTTCTGTGTATGATGTGATGTTACAATATTTGTATTTCATATGAATATTCACATATGATTCTACTTGAATATTATAATACTATAATATTGTAATATGTTAAGGGATGTTGGGGACTAGTTTTCTAAGGTAATAACTCAATTTGTTGTTTCAAGTCATTATTATAATTTTAACAGTTGAAAGCTTTTTCTATAATTTAAATTAACCTATCAAGTCTGATATCATTCATACACAGGTTTTTAGGTGTTGGGTAAATTTTGAGTCGTTGAATCATTCAAGACTGCACAGTTTTAAGGTGTAATAAATATTTTGAATAATTGAGAAAATTACAGTTTGAAGTTCTTAAAATTGTAGATATAATAATTTGGAAGGTGTGATGAATTATTTATTAAATATGGTAAGGGTAAGATCGAAAGGGTTGAAGTTTAAATTCCTCCTCTACTGTCTTTAATAAAATTTTTAATTTTATATTTGTAGTTTAGCAATTTTTTTATAATAAGTATATTAAACTAAATATTTAATATCATCCACCACTAGAGTTGCCAATATTTTCACATTTTTAAACTTTTTTTTCAACTTTGAATTCAGATTTCTAAACTTTGAGTTCAAGTTTTTAAACTTTCAATTTTTGTATCTTTAAAAATGTATACATTTATAAATTGTAACACGCTTAAATTACAAAACTAAATTTTCAGAAATATAAACTCAGTCTAAAGCATTCAAATACCATAATTTTCACGTATCCCAACACGTAACAAATGCACAAACTTCCGCAATCCATTCATAAACCCGTACATTTTCCCCATATTTTGAAGCTCGTTTGAAAGGGCAAGTAGAAACTTGAATTTATCTAATCGAACAAGATATAATCACGGAAACATCACTTGTAGGAGCAAACTTATGCGAAACCAAAGGTGAAAGTTACGAGTATCGATATCGTGCGCGCGAGAATATTCTGGTCACAGTGTCTTCTATTTTCGAGAAATTCCGAGCAACCTCGTAACTTGCATTCCCAATCAGCTACACCCTATATTGCACTGATTACATATATTATTACAAGGAATACACTTTATTTTTTCATTTAGAAAATTTTACAAGGTTCTACTTCAGAGAATTTAGCTTCAAAATGATAATAAACAAATTTATTATAACAAATTTATTAATAGAAAAATGGTTACAATATGTATAATAAATATTGTAACAATGTTTGTTATTAAAAAATTTCTTTTACTATTTTCAAATTACAGTGACAGTTTTATTAATATATTACAAGTATAAAATAGTTGTTACTTACATTATTTGATATATTATATTTGTATATAATATTGCTAGTATTATATGTACATATTTATTGCTACATTGCTAGCATTATATTTGAGAAAAATTTTAATTCTCTTCTACGTTAACTAACAAATTTGAAAACCTAATAAAATTCAATAATATCTCAACAACTAACAAGCTCTCAATTAATCTAGTTCCACAAAGATCAGATAATCACATGCAAATATTCTCTAAACTTTCCACCCATAAAATATGCATACTTTCTTCCATACTCCAACACTTTATAATACTTTTCAAAGTTTCCATCATAACACCAAATTTCTAATAATATATTACCAAAGATGTTACCTGTCTCATATTTCCAACCTCACTTTCTTCTATCCGCTATTTTTATTCCAACTCATAACCTTCCAAACATTTCCGATCTAAAAATGGCGTTCACCATTTGATGACTCTGCACAATCTCCCTTCGGTTATAATACTTTTCTTACAATACTTTTCAAAGTTTCCATCATAACACCAAATTTCTAATAATATATTACCAAAGATGTTACCTGTCTCATATTTCCAACCTCACTTTCTTCTATCCGCTATTTTTATTCCAACTCATAACCTTCCAAACATTTCCGATCTAAAAATGGCGTTCACCATTTGATGACTCTGCACAATCTCCCCTCGACAAATAAACGAGTAAATTAAACGATTAGATTGGCAATGTCGGCAAACGCGATAAATTAGGATAAACCAGTTTCTCCGCGAATTCTTTGCTAAATTCGTTTTCAACCTTGCTTCTAACCGCCTCTTCGGCTCTTTCAGGTACCATTTTTTATCGAGCGAATAAATCTGCATGTTAATCTCCTCCGTTCCTGCGGTCCCAAGAATCTCGGTGAAAGGACAAGAGTTCGATGTTTCTTTTACTGTTTCAGTGATTGTATAAAAACCGGTATTTCAGTGATTGTAGAAAAAACTACATTTTCTATGATCTCCTTAAAAACAATATTTTGTATGATCTCCTTAAAAACTACATTTTTTATGATCTCCTTAAAAACTGCATTTTTAATGATCTCCTTAAAAACTACATTTTATATGATCTCCTTAAAAACTACATTTTATATGATCTCCTTAAGAACTACAAGTTATAAGATCTTTTTAGAAACTACCTTTTGTATGATCTTCTTAGAAACTACCTTTTATATGATCTCCTTTAAAACTACATTTTATATGATCTCCTTAAAAACTTCATTTTTATGTTCTTTTTAAAAACTTAATTTTATATGAACTCCTTTAAAATTTCATTTTGTATGTTCTTTTAAAAACCTTCATTTCATATGAACTCCTTTAGAACTTCATTTTGTGTGTTCTTTTAAAAACCTTCATTTTACATGAACTCCTTTAAAACTTCATTTTGTGTGTTCTTTTAACAACCTTCATTTTACATGAACTCCTTTAAAACATCATTTTGTGTGTTCTTTTTAAAAACTTCATTTTATATGATCTTTTTAGAAACTACATTTTATATGATCTCCTTAAAAACTACATTTTATATGATTGATTTAAAAACTACATTTTACATGATTTATTTAAAAACTACATTTTGTATGATGTCCTCAAAAACCTCATTTTATATGATCTTCTTAGACAGTACATTTTGTATGATTTCCTTAAAAGCTTCATTTTATATGATTGCTTTAAAAACTACATTTTATGTGAACTTCTTTAAAACTTCATTTTGTATGTTCTCTTTAAAAACTTCATTTTGTATGTTATTTCTAAAAGCTTCATTTTATATGTTCTTTTTAAAAGCTTCATTTTATATGATCTTTTTAAAAGCTTCATCTTATATGTTCTTTTTTAAAAGCTTCATTTTATATCTTCTTTTTTAAAATTTTATTTTGTATGTTCTTTTTTAAAAGCTTCATTTTATATCTCTTTTTTAAAAGCTTCATCTTATATGTTCTTTTTTAAAAGCTTCATCTTATATCTTCTTTTTTAAAATTTCATTTTGTATGTACTTTTTTAAAATTTCATTTTGTATGTTCTTTTTAAGAACTTCATTTTATATGTTCTTTTTTAAAACTTCATTTTATATGTTCTTCTTAAAAGCTTCATTTTATTACAGAGGAGCCACAGCCAAGCAAAGGATGTCCCCGAGCGAACGGCTACTTCAAACACGAGGACCCAACAGCGTGCGATCGTTTCGTGAATTGTATCGATGGCGTCCCTCAAATAATGCCTTGTCCTCCGAGTTTGATCTACGAGGACAAGGTTTCTAGCTGCGTCTGGCCGGCAGATGCGACGAGATTATGCGAGAACGTGAGAAGAGACGTTTTGGATGATGGCTTCGTGTGTCCCGAAGGAGATGTGTCTGGTCCTCTTGGTAGAATCTTACCGCATCCTACTTATCCGCATCCGGAGGACTGCGCCAAGTTTTATATTTGTAAAAATGGCGTCGCACCGCAGAAGGGACAGTGCGAAGCTGGGACCGTTTATAGCGAGGATAGCTTCAGGTGTACTGATCCGGAAAATGTACCTGGATGGTGAGAACTTAGAGTACCTGGAGGGTTTCTTGGTTAGGTTGCTAGCTTGGTGGGTGGTTAGGTTATAGCTATAACCTAACAAGTTTTTGGGTTCTTATATGTTGTTGAGATAGATGGGGTTGAGAGTTTTTTTAGTTGTTAAGTTTGCATTTTTGCTAGGTTTCAAGGTTTCAAGCTATCAAGTTTGCAAGTTTGCAAGGTTTTAAGTGGTCAAGTTATCAAGTTCCCCAAATACCTAAAATCCCCAAATTTCCAAATTCTTAATTTTCCCAATTTACAAATCTGTCAAATCTCTAAATTCCCAAATTTTTCAATTTCCAAATCCCCAAATCTCCAAGTCCCAAATCCTTAAATTCCCCAAATCTCCAAATCCCAAATCCCTAAATTCCCCAATCTCCCAATCTTCCAATCTTCCAATCTCCAAATCCCTATATTTCCCAAATCCATAAATTCCCCAATCTCCTAATCTTCCAATCTCCCAATCTCCCAATCTCCCAATCTCCCAATCTCCAAATCCCTGAATTTCCCAAATCTCCAAACCCTAAAATCCCTGAATTCCCCAAATCTCCAAATCCCAAATCCCTAAATTCCCCAATCTCCCAATCTTCCAATCTTCCAATCTCCAAATCCCTAAATTTCCCAAATCCATAAATTCCCCAATCTCCTAATCTTCCAATCTCCCAATCTCCCAATCTCCCAATCTCCCAATCTCCAAATCCCTGAATTTCCCAAATCTCCAAACCCTAAAATCCCTGAATTCCCCAAATCTCCAAATCCCAAATCCCTAAATTCCCCAATCTCCCAATCTTCCAATCTTCCAATCTCGCAATCCCCGAATCCCTAAATTCCCTAAATTCTCCAAATTTTCAAATCCCAAAATCCCTAAATTCTCCAAATCTCCAAATCCCAAAATCCCAAAATCCCTAAATCCCTAAATACCTTAAATCTCCAAATTCCCAAACAACATCCCAAAATTAAACAAAAAAGAAATGAATGTCTTCCTACTTTTTATACGCGAAATTTATCTTGAACAAATAAACCTGATTTTCGTTTCCACTTTCTTGTTGCAGCGAGGACTACTACAAGAACAAAAACTGAGAACAAAGACAAGGTGCCAGTTACTCAGCGATACGTTTGTAACGCTTAATTATTATTATTTTTTTTTTTTTATTACACTTAAGAACAATAAACCCGCGATTCACTTACGTAAATGGGTGGCTTTTGCATACTCCTCCACGATAATTATACCTTTCTCCTTATGTAAACGGATATTACGCTCAGGAAATTTATAGCGTCGACAATTTTGTTGCCGTTTGTTGTAACGGGGAAATCAATAGTCGCCACTTAACATGTAACGGGGAGAGATTTAAATGGTATCCGAAAGGTCCGCAGCGTTCACATTTCTTTCCTTTTCTATCAATAATTTCGACTGTAAAATACGATACTTCAATTTTGTCTGTAAAATAAAAAATTGATACGTAGATGATTTGGTTCTTTTTTTTCACATTTCAGAAATTTATAGATGTTTGTTATTTTTTTATTGCAGAAAATGAAGAAGTATACAATTAATGTTTGATGCATTTAAGCTAACTAAGGAATAAAATAAAACTCACAAGTTAAAATAACAAATTCTTCTCCCATTTTCACTTTAAAAAAATTCAATGATTTTTAAGAATCATTAAACAAAAAAATACAATGATATTTTTATTACAAAAGATAGAAGAAAGCATGATGTAGTTATTATGTCATTTATTTGAGTACATGTGTGCTTTTTACTTAAAAGAGAGATCGAAGTAAAATAAAATACTGCAGCTTACATAAAAATATAAAAATAAGTCGTCAATCACTCCTTTCTTTTTGCTCTCAAATTCCAAGGCGTTTTCTTTTTATCGCAAGCATTAAACACGTAGGTCGCTGCTTAAGAGAGAGGCTGAGTGACAATTTTTCACTTGAATCATCGAAAATTGATCGCATTTGAATACAATAGGCTTCGCATAAAATCATTTCTTACGTGGGTAGACAATTTCACTTAATTCGACCGATTGCAACCTTTCTCTTTACGTAATTTATAATGCGCCACGTGGAAATGCATTCTCCAGACGAATGACTTACATTTCCGTTCATAAATAGTTATAACATCTTGTAGCATTCGATACAAAATTTCCAAACACTCCTTACAATAATTATTTAATATAAATACCTCGTGAAAGTTGCTGAAAAATGATTGAAAAATAAAAAAGTTTCTAAACTGTATTTTATAGAATTGCCAAGATGATCAGATGATTTAATTTTCTATCTAACTTTATACTAAAATTAGTCTCCTAAAAATTCGATTAAAAACATTGTAACAATGTCTATCAATGTATTTGATAGATTGTCTACCAATGTATCAATAATACATTTTATTAACGTCATGAAACAAATCCATGTGTCTGTTCTAATTGACGTAATTAATAAATGACGATTCAAAGTGTTGAAGTACAATGTGTAATTTGACGTGCGAAGATTTTAATGAGTGGTGATGCAACATGTAGTTAGCACATAACGATCTAACATGTAGTAATCTAATGCGTAATAATATTACGCGTAGAGTAATTTAATGTGTAGAAGCCTAATGCGTAGTAATTTAATGCGTAAAAATCTTGTAGTAATCTAACGCGTGGATAGCGATCTAATGCGTAGAAATCTAACTCGTAGGATTCTAATGAGTAGCAATCTACTGGGTAGATAATAATCTTGTGGGTAGTAATTTACCGTGTAATAATTTGATGTCGTGCTGTAATGTGTAGCGATTTAATTCGTGGTAGTTTGACGTGTAGTAATGTAGCGCGTAGTAATCTAACGCGTAGTAATCTAACGGGTAGTAATTTAATTGTGTAGGAATCTAACGTGTAGTAATCTAGCGCGTAGTAATGCAACGCGTGGTAATCCAACGCGTAGTAATCCAACGCGTGGATATCCAACGCGAAATAATCCAGCGCGCGGTAATCCAACGCGTGGTGTTCCAACGCGTGGTAATGCAACGCGTGATAATTCTACGCGTTGTAATGCAACGCGTGGTAATTCTACGCGTAGTAATGCAACGCGTGATAATCCAACGCGTAGTAATCCAACGCGTAGTAATCCAACGCGTAGATATCAAACGCGAAATAATTCAGCGCGTGGTAATCCAACGCGTAGTATTTCAACGCGTGGTAATGCAACGCGTGATAATTCTACGCATTGTAATGCAACGCGTGGTAATTCTACGCGTCGAAATCCAACGCGTACGTGGATATTCAACGCGTAGTAACCCAGCGTGTGGATATCCAACGCGTAGTAATCCAACGCTTAGTAATCCAACGCGTAGATATCAAACGCGAAATAATTCAGCGCGTGGTAATCCAACGCGTAGTATTTCAACGCGTGGTAATGCAACGCGTGATAATCCAACGCGTAGTAATGCAACGCGTGGTAATTCTACGCGTAGTAATCTAACGCGTAATAATCTAACGTGTAGTAATCTAACGCGTAGTAATCTCTCGCGTAGTAATCCAACGCGTCGTAATCTGACGCGTCACAATCTAACATATGGCTCTCCCCAACGCTCTAATCTTCAAATCTTCCTAAAAATCTCCACATCCATACCTCACTCTTCCAAATAAAATCCACCTCCTCCCACATCATCTCAAATTTCCCTATTTACAATCCCTTTCCCTCAATTTTATATTTAATATCACTACTCAAAAATCATCAAGAAGATCAATACCTCATCTTGAACATCACTTCTCATTTATCGTACAATAAATTTCAGTACATATCAACAGTATAAGAATCGAAAGGTATAAATTTGCGACCGTTTTCAAAATGTCCGTATTACAAAACGTCGAGCATATTCGACGGACACAGGATCAAGAGCTGGATCGATCATCGATCAGCGACATGACCGTGACGTGTTCGTTTCGTTCATCTGACCGGTTCACCGACAATGCTGATCGTGAGTAGCAAGATCGCGAGTGGTATTCGTCGGCTTTCACTATCCATGCTGGGAGATCTGGTTCCCCCTTCGGGCTCGAGGTACCGATAGCTGTTGCGTAAGACCAGCTAAGACCCTGAGGGGGTAATCGTTCTTCACGTTATATGCTATATCGACTGCTACGAAATTTATCTATTCATATCTACATTCAGAAGTACATATGTGGATATATTTTAATACATAAGGCTGAGGTTAAGTGGACTAGGTGCACGTTAGGTATGGCACACTTAGGCGTGGACTTTATCTTAGGTATGGACATTTAGGTGTAGACTTTATCTTAGGTATGGACACTTAGATGTGGACCTTACCTTAGGTATGGACATTTAGGTGTGGACTTTACGTTAGGTATGGACACTTAGGTGTAGACTTTACCTTAGATATGGCACACTTAGGTGTGGATGTTACCTTAGGTATGGACACTTAGGTGTAGACCTTACCTTAGGTATGGACACTTAGGTACCACACGAAGGTACTTAGATGCCTCCATTATTATTAGTTACACGAATTAGGAGACTTGAAGGAAATTAGGTACTATAGACTATTTGTCTGGGATGGGTTAGGTTCAATAACTTTACTACAGATGTTCAATATTCATTGTCACTTTATTTTAATATAATGTACATTCTTAATTACTGACTTACATTAAAGATTCATAACAATTACATTTCGTTCGAACTCAGTAAGGATGAGTTTGGTCCATATGTCTATTTCAGTTGAGACATGATTCTATGAGTCGACAAATGCTCTTTGTGATCTTCCCAATAATTTGTTTGATCCTCTTGATCTTCCAATAAGATCAGGAGACTCAAATAATAATTTTGTGACTAATTTTCATTGTAGACAAACTAGTTCCAATTTTAAGGATGTTGGGTCACATTCTGAATGATCAGACCTTATTTTGGAGTGCTAGTTTATATTTTCAGGGGTTACGTCCCATTTTAGAGGGACAGCTAGTAGCTTAAGGACGTGAGACTCACCCTAACCTCTTACATCCATGTAGACACATAAATAATTCTAGACAGTGAATGTAATTACCTAGACAATAATAGATGCAGTCATATCAGATCAAAATAGACCTAGACATAAATGGACCTAGATACTCAATCAACACCTGGATACTCAAGTGAACGTTGATATGAAGGTAAAGTTAAGTAACTTATATGTAAGCAACGTAGCTAGGGGTGTAATGCCAGATGTAAATATAGAAATAATCACAGTGACAGGTAGAAGAATGTAATTACATAGACAAACATAGATTTGTACGTTATTATCTCTAGGTCCACATGTGATCTACAACACACACAGGTGCCTACATATGGGTAGCAAACCTTGATACACAAATGCACATGTGAACCTCCAAATCACTTCATAAAAAGTTCATAGGTAGACCTAAACGTAGACACAAAGCTACCTAAATATATAGAAAGCAAATGAATCCATCGTTCGCCATCTACCATCGAACCCCAGCACCATCTTGATGTCCAGCTGTTCCCGTATTTTCGGGCAAAGCGCGCGAAAAGAAATCCGGCCGAGAATCGTTCGCTCGGCTGCACTCGCCGTTAAACCGAAGCCGCACGATCGCGGTAAGAAACCGCGGGGACCGATCTGGTGGGGTACCGAAACGGTCGAGCAAGCGTACAAAGCAAGTGAAGGGAGAAGTTGTTGTCCCGAGGTCGATAACTAAGTGTCAGTAGTCAGAGTCAACCCGTGGAGGATTAGACCGAACCGAGAGCAGCAATGAGCCACCCGAGGATCGTGACCCTATTGGCCCTGGCGGTTTTTTTGCTCTCCGGTAAGTGTTTCTGCGGCGATCGGCGTTCATTCAGGAAGGTCGCGTTTGGTGAACCGGTACGGTTCGATCCTCTTCAGGGTTCAGCATCCGACGATGCGTCAGGTGCATCGGCCGTTCTCCAGGTTGCATCCCCGCAGGCGTCGCTGCATCTGGTACCGTTCGTTCCCTCGTGTTACGACAGTCGTAGGATTTCAATAGCTTTCACTGAGCCCGCCAACGTGATCCTCTCGCCATATGGTTACGTGGTCTATGATATAATGGCGGAGCTTGTCTGCCGTTCACGCCTCCGTCTATTATTTTCAAATTCGTTTATCGCTGGCTACCATCTGATCAGGTTGCATTATTCATGCGCGCTGTCTCGTAGACTCTTTGTCCCTTTTCCCGCGTCTTCCTCCTCTTCTATTTTTCCGTGTTGGTCGTGTCGTCAGAGTGCTTTCTAGGTGGTGGTAATTTATGGTTGCGGGTGATCTGTGCTATCCGGGTACATCGGTGGTATTTAACTATTGATCGTTTATCTTTGATGTTGCTGGTTGTGCTTTTTAGATTTTACCGATATTGAGAATCTTATTGGAGGATCCAGGGTGTTTGAGTATCTGGGAATCTATGTAAGGATTTATTATTAGATGGTAGTTTTCTATATGGAATCTATTGAGGGTTCATCTATGATTAGAGCTAAGGATCTGCATAGTTAGAGATGTCTATGGATCTATCTGAGGATTTATCTACTTAGGGATCTGTTTATCTACAATCGAGATTGAGCATCTTAAGATTTGACTTTCTATAATACTGATCTGGGTGTCTAGAAATCTGATGTGGTTAATAGGGATCTGGACATCTAGATGTCTATCTAAGAGTTTAAGTATTTAGGAATACAGTCTAGGTGAGAATTTGTCTATCTATAATAGGGAGCTAAGTTTATATGAATTTGGAGCTATCAGAGAGGTAGCTATTTAGGGATTAATAAAAGTAGAAAGAGAACATATGAACATGTGGTACATTGAGATGAATATGAGGATCAAAGTACAAGAGATTTATCTACGGATTTGGAGATCTGAGAAATCGAGATCTAGAAACCCAGAAACGTAGAAATCTAGAAACCACAGATGTAGAAACCTAGAAATCTAGAAATTTAGAAATCAAGAAATATGGAGAGCTATAAATCAAGAAATCTGAAGATGTGGAAGGAATATAGGAACCTAGCAATGTGAGAATTTAGAAGTCTAGTAATCTAGTGGTCCTGAGAACTAGATATGTGGACCTAGAGATGTAGGTATCAGGACATCCAGAAATCCAGGAAACTAGGGATCAAGGAAACTGGGGACCTAGGGATTTGAGAGACCAGAAATCTAAGGAGTCTAGGGAATCTAGAGATCTAAGGAGTTAGGAATTCAAGGATGTAGGAATCTGGGGATTTAGGAATCTGAGGATCTAGGAATCTAGGGGTTTAGGAATCTGAGGATCTAGGAATGTAGGGATCTAGAAATCTAGGGGTTTAGGAATCTGGGGATCTAGGAATGTAGGGATCTAGAAATCTGAGAATCTAGGAATGTAGGGATCTAGAAATCTGAGAATCTAGGAATCTAGGGATCTAGAAATCTGAGGATCTAAGAATCTAGGAATCTAAAAATCTACCAGTCTAAAAATCTATCAATCTAAAAATCCACCAATCAAAAAATCCACCAATCTAAAAATCTTCCAACCTAAAAATTCACCACCCTAAAAATCCACCAATCTAAAAATCCACCAATCTTCCAATCCACTACCCTAAAAATCCACCACCCTAAAAATCCATCAATCTAAAAATCCACCAATTTAAAAATTCACCAATCCAAAAATTTACCACCCTAAAAATCCACCAATCTTCCAATCCACTACCCTAAAAATCCACCACCCTAAAAATCCATCAATCTAAAAATCCACCAATCTAAAAATCCACCAATCTTCCAATCCACCACCCTAAAAATTGAAAGTTACACGTGCTAACATAATACCGAATGTTTCTCGCCTTGCTACAGTTCCAAGTGATAGATGATCACGTTCTTTCCTTTCTCTTTCAGCATTGATAACATTAACTTAGACCCGCACGATATATCGTTAAGGATATTCAAGTTTCTCCTTCCACCAGCGACAGGATTGCTCCTCGTCCTCATATCCTTTCTATTTTGACTATCGGTTAGAAATCCTCGCTCGATCAATTAGCTCGAAATCGTCGACGATTTGCGGCATTCCATCCAGCATTTCTTCAACATAAAAAGAAGCGTAGACTTTCCACTCGACGATGCACGAATATCGTCGCTACGTGACTCGCCTCGATGATTCGACGTGGGAATTTAAATCGTGAAACTTCGTCATTTCCTCTCGCTTCAGAAGCTGCATCTTTAACTGGTTTTGTTAATCGTTTTATCCTTCGCTATTGTGAATTTTAATTGTTTTTTTATTGCGTCGTTCTATCACCAGAATTTATGAGCCACGTTTCTGCGCAGCGAGATTGGTGAGTTTGTGAATGGTACTTTGACATCGATCGCTGATAGCTCTGAGAGATTTTATCGTTTACTGATATTGTCAAGTTAATTCACTTTTGAAGGAGATTTTCTTTAGATTGAGTTCATTAGATCACAGATATAATTTGTAGACGATATCTACTCTATACTTCTGTTCTTTTTTCTGTAACATCTGTAATAATGTGACAATAGTATAATTTTGTAATGATTCAATGTTTAATTTTTTAATTTCTATTTGTATATAGGTTACATGTTTTTTAGAGTCATCATTTATTTAGTAAATTTATATTAGGGTATTTGAATAGCCTTGATATAATAATTGAAGTACTTCTTTTTGTTAAACAGTCGAAGGAACTACTCTTCTGGGTGCACCACCCTGCCCCGACCCATATGGGATCCACGCGTACCCCCACCCTGAAAGCTGCAACGCATACTTCCTCTGCACAAATGGCACCCTGACCCTCGAATACTGCGAGAATGGACTACTTTTTGACGGTCACGGATCTGTGTACCAACACTGCAACTATTATTGGGCTGTTAATTGCGGAGATCGCAAGGCTGACCGTAAGTATTGTATATCACCTTACGCCCTCGATTATTCCTATCGATGTCACGTACATATATGTACGTATTGCGAAATGATTACAGTAAATATTAAATACACGACATTCCAAAAAATGTGTACTTATAATCTGTAGAAATAGCAACACTTGTTACTTTGTATAACAATACAAAATTGATAAGTTTATATAAATTATTGTTGGAGTTTGAAATTGTGTGGCGGCCATTTTCTAATAGCCATTTTGGTAATGGCGCAGACTGATGCAATTATAGATGTTTATTGCAAATTATTTTCTTTGTTATTTAGGAGAAACAAAAGGTTATGAGTAGTAATATAAAACAAGCAATATTTTAACATAATAATATATTGTCAAATATTATTAATTTTATGAAAGTATTATTAACATCAAATATCATGTTAAATTTTTATATGGTGGAGCTTAATTTGATCCAGTTATTTCAGACAACTTATCCTGAATAATATATGAAAATTTAGCTACAACTAAACTAAATCGTAACTAAAAAATAATTTTAAGCTAAACTAATTTCTGATTCAGAAATTGCAACTAAAAATTAATTTTAACTAAAGTTAAACTAATTTGTATCTAAAGTATACTTTAACTAATTTCTGATTCAGAAGTTGAAGCTAAAAAATAATTTTAAGTAAAGCTAAACTAATTTCTGATTCAGAAATTGCAACTAAAAATTAATTTTAACTAAAGTTAAACTAATTTGTATCTAAAGCATGCTTTAACTAATTTCTGATTCAGAAGTTGCAACTAAAAATAATTTTAACTAAAGCTAAACTAATTTCTGATTCAGAAATTGCAACTAAAAATTAATTTTAACTAAAGTTAAACTAATTTGTATCTAAAGTATACTTTAACTAATTTCTGATTCAGAAGTTGAAGCTAAAAAATAATTTTAAGTAAAGCTAAACTAATTTCTGATTCAGAAATTGCAACTAAAAATTAATTTTAACTAAAGTTAAACTAATTTGTATCTAAAGCATACTTTAACTAATTTCTGATTCAGAAGTTGAAGCTGAAAAATAATTTTAACTAAAGCTAAGCTAATTTGTAACTAAAGCACAATTTAACTAATTTTTAATTTCTAAATAACTTTGACTAATACTAAAAATTTAGATGCAGAAAGTTGTATAATAAAATAGAAGGATTATAATGATATCTTAAACCATTCCTTAAAAACGATTAGCAAAAATCAATATTGGCAGCTTCTTTTCGTTGTTGCCAAACTTCAAAGGGTGAAAAAGAAGATAAAATTTCTGCTGGGCATACGTAACAATTCGTGCAAGAAAGTAAAAGTTGCACGGCAAAGTAATTTCGGTAACATTTACCGTGCTTTAGTAGGTCACGTCACTGTCATCCATCATGAAGACTTGCCACAAATTACATCAATTACAACGATGTGTTCTCTGTTGCTCGTTTGCTTTTTAACAGCGATTTAAATCAGACAACTTATTCTATAAACTCGCTTGACTTGTTTGTAAATTAATTGTCTATAAAATATAACAAAATATTGTTACATATTTTTTGATTATCAAGTGATGGTAGACTGTTATTTCTTCTTCGAGTTACTTGAAAATCAGTGGTATTTTGACGAATACAAAATTCAAATAATGATAGGTTAAATATTTCGTTGAACACTGTTTTAAAAGCTAACCTAACCTGAACAATGATTACGTACATTACAATTTACGTCTGCAAATAACATTCAACTTCTGTAAGCTTGTCGACCATGAAATCTAGGAAGAAAATATCGCGGTTCTATTTACACCTGCAAGGTTAAATATCTTCTCCGCTAGATGTGAAAATATTTTACTTATTTATTGCTCGTTAGAAAAAAACATTAGAATACACAAGTTTAAAAATGCGAAAATACATAGTTCATATATTTACTATTCTGCAGAAGAATATTTTATTTAAAATATTTAGTAACTTTTCATTCAAACTTCATATTATTCCTCATAAGAAAAAAAATATTAAAATATACAAGTTTAAATATATACATACATAGAGAGAATATAATACATAGTTCACAAAAATATTTACTATTCTGCAAAAGAATTATTCAATTTTAATATTTTATTTCAAGTATTCAGTAATGTTTCGTTTAAACTTCATATCAATAAGTAAATAAATAATGTAAAATCTTGCTTGAAATATGATAAGAATATTGTTCTGTATTTTTTAAATGAGAAATATTCTTTCATGGAAATAATTTTCAGTGACCCCACACAGCACCCCCGGCTGCGAATTCCAGTTCGGATTGTACCCCATCAGCGATTCATGCAGCACGACTTATATCAAATGCGTTCACGGACATCCTGAAGAAACACATTGCGATGCAGGATTAGTGTACGAACCGAAGAGTCACACCTGTGTGTGGCCTGATCAATTATTGCCCTATTGCAACCCGGAGGAAATAGTTGGATTCAAGTGCCCTCACAAGGCGCCCTCTCACGGCGCTGCTGCCAAATTCTGGCCATATCCCAGGTATGTACAAAATTTATTTTTATTTTTGCAATAGGTAATTCATTAAAAATATATTGATGGTATAGACAGGTCTTAGACTGTTTAATAAACAATCTTGGTGTATTATTGATGTTGCATAAATATTGTTTATCAAGTTTAAATTAAGAATGGAATTTTTTAAAGCAAGAGTAGTCTGCTGTAAGTGTCAAGGTTAGAGAATTATTTTTTACAATAATTCTTTAAGTTTAGCAAACTTATTTATTGACAAAATGTGTACAAATTTGTTACTTAGGCCTATGAAGAATTGTAATTATTAACTGTAACTGTAATAGTTATAATTGTAACTGTTTAATGAATATGGGAATTTTTTTAAGACGTGACACTAGCAGTCTCTTATGCTTTTACTCTTCAAGTCTCGAAGTGTTTATGAACATTTGTAAAAACTCTAAATACACAAAGAAGCATCTAATTAATAATAATGGTGAATCAAATATGATAGTACAAATCAAAATAAAAAAAATAAAATTTCTAACACCGAGTAAAAATTATTAAAAAGATTATAAACATGAGTGACTCAATGATCCTAATTATCAATATTAAATAACAAATAAATAAATAGTAAATTTCTTTTGCCTAATCAATGCATCTAATAATCAATGCATATTTTAAATAATCATTTAAGTAACCGCCCTAACAAAGTTATCTCAAATGTCCCACAAAAAATCACAAAACAAAACTTGAGATAATAAAATAAGAGGGTAATGGATACCCGCTTAAAAAGGACTGCAAATAAAATACCCCACGAAAACAGGATATCCTTCTCAAATAACACCGGAGATTCATCTAAAAAGAAAATATTGCATGGGTCTCTTTCGAAAATAAATGAAGAAGTTAAATACTACGTGAATTCGCGTTTACTCTGCACACAAATTAAAAACCGGTCCAGCTCCGGATATCGGAGGGTTTCACCGCCCGCTGAGAGAAGACACGTGTTTTACGATTATTTTGTTTTACCATCAGCTCTGTTAACAAATGCACCGTGTTCTCCTTTTTATTTACATTACAATCGCGATGAGAACCGGACATGAAATTACTCTTGAGAGCAGCTATAAATAAATGGTTTCCTTTGATATAGCGGTGATCAAAACACGGTTATTAGGGTGTAATAAAATTTGTGGGGAAGTTTTATTTATGGTGGAGTAAAGGTTTTGTTGAGGATTATTGTGTTTAAGTGCTAGTTTGAGCAAATTTTCCAAATTTCAAATTGCCTAGATTCTAAATTTTGCAAATTCCAAATTTCTCAAGTTCCAAATTTCCCAGATTCCAAATTTCCTAGATTCCAATTTTTCCAAATTCCAAATTCCCCAAATTCCAAATTCACCAAATTCCAATTTACCATCAGCTCTGTTAACAAATGCACCGTGTTCTCCTTTTTATTTACATTACAATCGCGATGAGAACCGGACATGAAATTACTCTTGAGAGCAGCTATAAATAAATGGTTTCCTTTGATATAGCGGTGATCAAAACACGGTTATTAGGGTGTAATAAAATTTGTGGGGAAGTTTTATTTATGGTGGAGTAAAGGTTTTGTTGAGGATTATTGTGTTTAAGTGCTAGTTTGAGCAAATTTTCCAAATTTCAAATTGCCTAGATTCTAAATTTTGCAAATTCCAAATTTCTCAAGTTCCAAATTTCCCAGATTCCAAATTTCCTAGATTCCAATTTTTCCAAATTCCAAATTCCCCAAATTCCAAATTCCCCAAATTCCAAATTTCCCAAATTCCAAACTCCCCAAATTCCAAATTTCCCAAATTCCAAATCCCCCCAATTCCAAATTTCCTAAATTCCAAATCCCCCAAATTCCAAACTCCCCAAATTCCATATTTCCATTTCCAAGCCCCCAATTCTCAACTCCCCAAATTCCCAATTTCCCGAATTCCTAAGTCCCCAAATCTACATATTCCCAAATTTCCAAGCTACCAAATTCTCAAATTCTCCAAAATACTAAATTTGCATATAATGTAATAATAGTCCTAAAAGATTAATGAATGAAGTACTAACAAATGTCCACTTTGCAGATTCCCAGTGCCCGGTGATTGCGGAAGATTAATTACCTGCGTCGACGGACATCCACGACTGTTAACCTGCGGAGAGGACAAGCTTTTCGATTCCGTATCTCTGAGCTGTATGGACCGTGATGAACTGCCTCACTGGTAAACCTATTAATCAAACATTCTATTCGCATTCCATAAACACAATACAAACATCATTCTTTTCTGTTTCAGTGCCAATAACCTCTAAATTATTTAGAAGCAGTGAATTGCATCAACCAGGAACCTTGAAATTTGTTAACATTCGATTCATTCTCTCAAACTATCAGTTTATTTATGTAAAACAACACGAAGTAGTAATTTATTTGATTTTTAACCATAAAAAATTAGCTCCGAAAGAAAAAATAGATCTCTGTAATTATTAAAAATTTATTTCTCCGTGTAAACTTAGTTACCATTTTGAATAAAGAAAAAAGAAAGAAATATGTACAATCAGTATTTCGAATAAAAAATGTGGACATGCGTACAAAAAATATACAACGTATACTTTATTCCAACGTGTCTACATTCGTACAGGTGTTTCTGATCGACTTACCTATGATTAACGCGAGAAGACGGTGAGAATGGCTACGAGGAATATTTACACTTTGACTAAATAAACAAATAAAATGATAAAAGAACGGTCGGTGAGAGCTTAACGATTAAAGGGGGATACAATCAAAATGTGTACCTTACGATATTACATACATCGTTTAACTTAAAAGTACGTGCAGAAAAGGTGACGATAATCGTCGACGAGAAAGGACAGAAGAAAACTGTTACTTCCGGTGAAACGTAACAGAACGTATTCTAGAAGCGGTGAATATACATAAAACATAGAATTAAGTTTCGAGAGCTACCGATTTGTATCGGTGAATTTTTTTTTTAAAGCCAATATGGCGGTTTTGAATGAATTTTTGAAGCGTTCTTTGTGGATGACTCTTAAGTTGTGTTACTACGTATGCTATATTTAATGTTCAAATTTAAAGTTGGATTCTTGTTTTGCATTTATATATTGTATTTTTTTTTCAAGTTTAAATATTGAATTTTTGTATCAAATTTATATATTGAATTTTTGTTTCAAATTTATGTATTGAATTTTTGTTTCAAATTTATATATTGAATTTTTGTTTCAAATTTATATATTGAATTTCTATTTCCAAATTAAATCTTGAAGTTTTATTTTATGTTTAAACTTGAATTTTTGTTTTACATTTATATATTGTATTTTTGTTTCAAATTTAAATATTCAATTTTTGTTTCAAATTTATATATTGAATTTCTATTTCAAATTTAAATATTGAACTACTATTTCAAAATTGAATCTTGAAGTTTTATTTTATGTTCAAACTTGAATTTTTGTTTTGCATTTATATACTGTATTTTTGTTTCAAGTTTAAATATTCAATTTTTGTTTCAAGTTTATATATTGAATTTCTATTTCCAAATTAAATATTGAAGTTTTATTTTATGTTTAAACTTGAATTTTTGTTTTGCATTTATATATTGTATTTTTGTTTCAAGTTTAAATATTCAATTTTTGTTTCAAATTTATATATTGAATTTCTATTTCAAGTTTAAATATTGAATTACTACTTCAAAATTGAATCTTGAAGTTTTATTTTATGTTTAAACTTGAATTTTTGTTTTGCACTTATATACTGAACTTCTATTTTAAATTTAAATATTGAATTTCTGTATTAAGTTTCAATATGTATCTTCATGTTAAAATGCACCTCTATATTTGAGGTTGTATCTCAAAACTTGAATATGAATTTCCATATAAAATCAATCAAAATGGACTCAACAAGACATAACCTCAACAGTCATCTAACATCAACTTATCAAAAACAGTCATCTAACTTCAAGTTACCGAAAACAATCCTCTAAATTCAAATTACCACAATTTTCCCCTAAAATCCACCCCAAACTCACACTAAAAAAAATATCTATCATCTTGCTAATAGCAACACATTAATCTTTGCACACGTAGAAACTCGACTTAAGGTCCCGCAAAAGAATTCCTTATTATAATTTAATTTCTGGAACGAGCTCGAAGAGGAATAGGCAGTGCACCAGCAGGCAGAGGTGGAACACCAGGAGGAAGATTCTCTTCTTCCGGTTCTTGTTCGTTCCTTCCTTCCGGAAGATCACCCTCTAGGTTCGGTGGTGTCGTAGGTACGTCGCAGTCTTCCGTGGGTGGAACAACGCACCTCAACGACCTTCTGTCGAAGACCAACATCGCTGGACATCTCTGTAATCTTGGGTATCCACCTTGACATTGCCAGTAACGGTTGCAAGACTTGCCCAGGGGCACATTTCCGTTCGCGTCGTCGTTGCAGAGTGCTGTTGAAAGATTAAATTACGGATTGGTGAATCGTTTTGTAATGAGAAAGTTATAAGTTGTTTTAAGATAACCTTTAAGAAATATTTGAGAACAAATATTGGAAATTTTGAAGATGGAGATGAAGAGTTATTGATGAAGCAATGTTATGTATACAAAATAATGTAGCTTTATATATAATTTTATTGTATAGTTTTATATGTGATATAGCTGTAGATGGTGATATATGAAACATGTCTTTAACAGACTAGTTGTGATGCATCACCAAATGAAGGTTCAGCGTTTGAAGATGAAGAGAGGTTATTTTTAAAATAAAATAAAATGGCAGTGAAAACTGTGTGTTAACTTTCTGATAATCATTGTGAAGCTTCAATATTCAATTTGATAGTGATTTAGCTCATCAAAAGTAATTTTTAAGCTCCACAAAGTTTTTCAGAAGCCTCAATGTAAAAATTAACAAGGGTGTCCCAAGAGGTTATAGCAGTTTAATGATTAACAAGGGTGTCCCAAGAGGTTATAGCAGTTTAAAAATTAACAAGATTATCTCAAGAAGTTGTAGCACTTTAATAATTAGCAAAAGTGTCCTAGCAAAGTATATTAGTTTAAACCTTGAGAATTTCTATCAGAAAATTTGGCAAATTCCTAATTATGTGTATAAGTGAGATAGCAAGTTGGAAGATATAATTGAACCTATCTTAACAATTGCAATGTTAATACATTTTGTGTTGCATACTCTTCTATATGAATTATAATGCAATAATGACTATATGATATTTTGTGCTGCATTAAAGTAAACAAATAACCTGGATTGCCCAGCAAATTTTCAGGAAGTGGCAGCAACTCAATGGAACATAATACTGCAGTTAACCTTGGTACAAAGTACAACAAAAAACAGTATTCGCATGAATAGATGTGCAAGGTGATTACTGTTCATAAAAATCACGTGATGAACGTATGGTGTTACGTAACGTGGTTCTACAAAATGGAGGTCAACATCCTCCAAAGAAAGTTCCTATTCCAAGAATATTCTGGAGCCATAATTTCAAGCTTATAAAGAGTTACAAAATTCTTACATGAAATTACAAAATATTTACAATAGCTTTCACATAACAATTTACAATTTAACACTCGACGTTTAAACTACGTTTCATCACCCAAGTTTACACTTTCATTGAGAAACCTTTCATTGAGAGATCGTTTCACGATGAAATTTTAAAAAATGAAATCAAATCACGAAATGAAATTTTGACGCGTCAAATTGTCAAGCGAGCAGAAAGCTTACGGCGACTTACTCTGAATGTTAATTAACTCGCCTCTTTTTCTCTGCGGAGGGCAGTGACTTCGAGCAACGCCTCGAGCAAGGAAAGAAAGGACACACGTGTGTGCGTTTTTCTTGTATGGCCACTTTCGAAAGTGAGAATGATCGCGAACTTTGCTACGGTGTTTTGCGAAACTCGAGATGAAACTGCTTCTTCGAAATGGAGGAATGCTTAAATAGGAAATTCTCAAGTCGCAATTTGTTAAAGAGTGTGACAAAATTAACAAAAGATGTAACAAAATTAAAATATGTTACTGGTGATGTGGTGAATTATTGGTAGCTTTGATGATCAGTTGACAAGCAAGTTTATGTGATGATTTAGCAGATTTTTAGTAAATAATTATTTTTTAGTGAACAATTTCTTAGAGGTGATATTGCAAGTTCTTAAATAGTTCAATTTGTTAATGATGATACAGTATATAGTTAACAGTTCAATTTGTTAATGATGATATAGCAAATTGTTAACTAATAGTTCAATCTGTTAATTGTAATTTAACAAAATGTTAACAAATTGTTCAATGTATGACGATATAGCAAATTTTTAGTTAATAGTTCAATCTGTTAATTGTGATTCAGCAAACGATTAATAAATTGTTCAATGTATGATGATATAGCAAATTCTTAGCTAATAATTCAATCTGTTAATTGTAATTCAGCAAACTGTTAATAAATTGTTCAATGTATGATGATACAGCAAATTCTTAGTTAATAATTCAATTTGTTAATTGTAATTCAGCAAACTGTTAATAAATTGTTCAATGTATGATGATATAGCAAATTCTTAACTAATAATTCAATCTGTTAATTGTAATTCAGCAAACTATTAATAAATTGTTCAATGTATAATGATATAGCAAATTCTTTACTAATAGTTCAATCTGTTAATGGTAATTTAGCAAACTATTAATAAATTGCTCAATGTATGATGATATAGCAAATTCTTAGCTAATAATTCAATCTGTTAATTGTAATTCAGCAAACTGTTAATAAATTGTTCAATGTATAATGATATAGCAAATTCTTAACTAATAGTTCAATCTGTTAACTGTAATTTAGCAAACTATTAATAAATTGCTCAATGTATGATGATACAGTAAATTGCTAGTAACACTCCTTGTAATCAATGATTAATCAAATTTATTAATAAACATCTCACTTCATTAATGCTAACATAACAAACTATTTAAAACAACTAACTCCATATTTGTCAACACACAAACAACATTCCGTCACAAATAATTTATAACATTTTTAACATTCTTACTATACTTCTACAAAATATTTCATTCTACTCGCTCATCAAACTTGCAGTTTTTATCAAAATCGTTACTCACGATGTTTCTGGCATCCCTCGACGTTTTCCGGCCAATCACAAGACCTGGCCCTCTCATTATACAAAAGTCCACCGATGCAAAGTTGTTCAGTAGCGGTACCGTTCCAGCAGGTCCAATACCTCGTGCAAGAAGTCTCATGACCAAAAATTCCATATAACCAATCGCAATGATCAGCCGGGATAGGTGGATTCGCCTGACGTTTTCCGTCGCAGTAGTTCGCTCTCCAGGGGTAGTCGCAACCCTCGGTTACGCCTCGATGTTTCCCAGCGAATACCAAACCATTTGGACAGTCGAACAATTCTGGACGTCCGTTGACGCATTCCCAGTAACGATCGCAGTATTCTATGTCGCCGACGACTCTGGACTTTGTTTGGCAAGGATCCTCTTGCTGCTGCTTCTGGGCGTGTGATCCTGAAATAATTCTTTTGGGTTACTAATGGAATCGTTGGAAATTATACAAGAATTTATATTTGTAATTTCAGTTTATTTAAGTATGTTAAGGATTTAATTTTGAAATTTATTAGAGGGTGATGTTTAAGGGTTAAGATTTATGGTTAGGTTAGGTTCTTAGATTAGTACTTCAATCTTAAGGATTACTGTTGAGGGTTGAATTACGATTAAGTGTTTAAGTGGACAAGGTTGTGACATATGAAGTATTATAATTACTCAGCAAAACAATAAAAGTCTATTCTACAATTGACGTCTATTATGCAACTGATGTACATAACAGCGTATCAAATTTTACTAACCAATAAATATATTCTTTCATACAGTGAATAAATAAATAATTCTACACAGTATTTCCTATGATAAACAAACTGTGTTTGTAACTGTCAATATTCTTGTTAAATGTACACCAATGAGTACGATGAGTGTATACAAATCAGTGTCGATAAAGAAACGATTGATCAACCCCCTGACCAAACAATTTGAATCGACTCGAAGTTGATCCTCGTTCAAGCTTCTTTCATCGCCACCGTTCTTTCATCGAGCTAATAAATTCCATCATTATGCGCGCTTCCATTGAGAAGGCCAAATGACTGGCGATATAATATCAAGTTGCACGACAGCACGTTGCTTCTCTTCTTTCGATTCAGGAACACGTTCCCGGCGACCGTGAGGCATAGTAACACGATTTCTTGCTTCGATCCGATCGAACAATCGTGACTCATCGTTCGTTGGCACACCGATCCTTTCTTCGTGATCTCACGTTCGACACAACTTTTTTTTTTAATGTCAGAAAAGCTTAAAACTGTGGGAATCTCGGGACGCGAGGTTCCGTGGAATTTATAATTCGATTTCGGGACGGTATGCAAGGTGCGTACGGAGGGATAAGAATATACGGTAAGATTCGTACGATTTGGTCGCTTTTTTTTTGGTAAGAATTTCCGGTTTTTTAACGCACATTTTTGCCAATTTTATTTCTTGACACGGGACATTTTTATGCAGGGGCAGTTTATAAACACTAATTTAGGAATTCAATTGGTCTTTTTTAAAAATGCAAGTACTTTAGTAAAATCTTGACTCCAATATCTTAACTCGTGAATTTAATTACGTGGTTCATTTATGCTTCATTTAAATTTTTTAAGTGAAACAATTTTTTTACTTGTACATTTTTTTATTCAGAAAGGATATTGCCTAAAAAAAATGGTAGGAGCTTTCCATAAACAAAAATTCATGTATTTTAACAAAAGTTAGAATACGTAAATAAAATTAATTTACAACAGAAAATATTAAATAAAATTTATTTTGCAACATCTTGAATATGAAGAAATACAACTCTTTGCAAAGAAAAATCATTGTCAATATTACATTCTTGCAAATCTCATATTATTTTCAATTATCGCAATAAAAATACTAGCGCAAAATTAACATCTCATTACGTATCAATTTTTCCTCACTTTCAGTATTATATAAAAATTCAAACTAGACATTATTAAAACGTAAAAAATATAATTTACAAGCGTAATTTGTCGATCTTCTAGAATTTTCCTGTTACATCGCAACACTTGCTTTCTACAGTCATTAGCAGATAGATAAAATATAATTATGCACCGCAGTTTATAACGTCGTCGTAATCTCTAGATCAAACATAAAATGCAGTAATGTGCATTATGCGTTGCAGAATGCAGTGCTCCGTGTGATACTTTCCCAGATGTAAATTATAAATGGAAAGGTGTTAATGTTCGTTATAAGCGTTCTGCGTAATCGTGTGAAAATTGCGATATAACCGGTGTGTATTATAATCGGCAAGAATATACGATTTATCAATGTCTATTTGTTCTCTTCGTTTAATTACGGTGTTGTAACAACTGTTTCCATTATTATGTTCAAAGTGCTTAAAAATAATTTTATTTGAAATTAAAAAAATTTGACGTTAAGAGTTGGTTGGTTCGGGAATTTTTGAGGTTAGTTTCTTGGGGGAATTTGGAGAATTTTGGGATTTGAGGATTGTTGGAATTTAGGGTTGGAGGGATTTAATATTTGGGAAAGTAAAAATTTGGGGTATTTGATATTTACAAGGTTAGCAATTTGGGGAATTAGAAATTGGAGGATTAGGAATTTGGTATTTAGGGGAATTTAGAATTGGGGTAATTGGGAATTTGGGAATTTTGGAATTGGGGAGTTTGGGAATTCGGGAAGTTGGGAATTTGAGAATTTGGGAATTTGGGAGTTGAGAATTTGGAGAGTTGGAAATTTGGGAGTTTGGGAATTTGGGAATTTTGGAATTGGGGAGTTTGGGAATTAGGGAAGTTGGAAATTTGAGAATTTGGGAATTTGGGAGTTGAGAATTTGGAGAGTTGAGAATTTGGGAATTTTGGAATTGGGGAGTTTGGGAATTCGGGAAGTTGGAAATTTGAGAATTTGGGAATTTGGGAATTTGGGAGTTGAGAATTTGGAGAGTTGAGAATTTGGGAATTTTGGAATTGGGGAGTTTGGAAATTCGGGAAGTTGGAAATTTGAGAATTTTGGAATTTGGGAGTTGTGAATTTGGAGAGTTGGAAATTTGGGAGTTTGGGAATTTGGGAATTTTGGAATTGGGGAGTTTGGGAATTCGGGAAGTTGGAAATTTGAGAATTTGGGAATTTGGGAGTTGAGTATTTGGAGAGTTGGAAATTTGGGAGTTTGGGAATTTGGGAGTTGGAAATTTGGGAAATTTGGAATTGGAAAACGTGGAAATGGGAAATTTGGAATTGCAAATTTTGGAATTGGGGAGTTGGGAATTGGGTAATTGAGAATTTGGCAAATTAGAAATTGAGGAAATTAATTATTTGAGAAATTGAGAATTATAGGTTTAGGAAGTCGGGGAATCTGATATTTCGAAGATTACAAATTTGGGAAATTAGAAATTGAGAGTTTAAGACTTTGAAGAGTTTCACATTTGGAAGATTCCGAATTTGATGAATTATGAATTTGTGAACTTGTCAAATTAGAATTAGTTTAAATTAAAAATTCGGAAAATTAGAAATTGTGGTAACAAGAGTTACATGAAAATCAAGTTAAAACCATTAAGCTTCAACAACGCAGTGTCTCAATCTCCCAGATTCATTTCAAGTAAATCTTAAAACCACGAAATCGTTTATACCACAGAATTATACGCAGCCGGTAATATCTCGTGTAATGGGCGTAATTCGGTCGCTGTTCTCTTAAAGACCAGGTAGAAAAGTAAATAGTAAAGTAAGGTGGGAAGGTAGCTCGTGGTGCGCTCCCAAGAGAGCACGCTACGGGCGCAAGTGAAAGTCCCTAGCCTTGACTTGCAACCTTCATGGTACCCCTTTCCTCCATGCTCCATAAAATGCGAGATTCGGTTCGTGACGTTGTATCTATCGTTCTCATCCTTCATCGCGATTACGAGGATCACGGTGAATAAAAATGGCTGCGACACTTGTTCGATTATTTTTTCGTATAAATATTACAAGGTACAATTAGGTAACTTTTCTTATTGGCAATTTATCATTGGTGATTTATGTTCACTTCTCGTGAAATTTATTTTTATCGTTACTGAACATTGATCCTAGTGGATTAATGACAGTGGAAAAATAAATGCTTGAGTTGCAAATTTATTTGTTCATAGCAAGGTATTAAATTTTATTCTGTATTTGCTTATTCTGTACTTTTTGGCATTTCAGTTATTGTACTATTTCTAGGGTGTTTATTTTTTTTAGTACTATTTCTACTACTACTACTTCTTTTAGAAGTAATATTACTTCTTTGATACTGTATTTTTTATTTCTTTGATACTACTTTGATACTACTTCTTTGATACTACTTTCCTGATACCACTTTTATCATACTACTATGATTTCACTTCTTTGATACTACTTTTCTGATACCACTTCTTTCATACTATTATGATTTTACTTCTTTGACACTTCATACGATGATTCTTACAATACTTCTTTAACACTTCGAGTATCTAATTTTTGCATAGGACTAGCTTATATTAGTGAAAGACTAAAGACCAAGAAAGTTATGCATTGCAAGTATAAACTGATTTAGTGTTCTAGAATGGTTACTAGTAGTGCATGAAATAATAGGAAAAACAGGAGTATCCGGTTTCACCCGCCTACCCGGTTCTACCCTACTTTCCCCTAGATATTCCTGTTATAACGTTTAGGGTACTTGCGGGTCTAGTCCTTCCGGTTGCAATTCAGGCTTTTTCATTGGGAGACATATTCATGTCACATTTCTTCTTTCCAATTTATTAGTGCATTGAAAGTTCACAAATTCCTAAATTTTAATTTGTAGATCTTTAAGTCCAAAGGTGGATTTATAAATATTTTTAGGTTCTCAAGTATTTAAATTTTCAAGATTGTACATTTGTGCATCTTCAACTTAAAAAATTTACAAATTGCATGATTCTTAAATGTCTACGTCTATATTCTTCCAAGTACATTTGTGTATTTTCAAAGATTGAAGTCCACAAAAGTTAAAAACGTTCCTAGATTAAATGGGAGTTCCTCTCCGCAGGAGAAACCAGACGTGAACAGACTGCATCTCGTTTAAATTAATTTACCACTTAAAAACTCGACCCTCGTAATCCGTGGATGACAGGAAGATTATCCTGTTTTACACCTTCCATGTATCCTTGACATTCAGGATTCTATTCTGGGTCCACCATCTTTCCTCGAAAACACGTTTAGCACGAAAGAAATCCACATTTTTCTTGCATTTAGTAAACAGATTCCAGTGTATCAGAAATTGATATCTTTTAATATCGTGTGACTAGTTTCATTTTAGAAAATATTACTGTCTTCTATTTTATTTGGTATGTTTGTTACAATGTCTTTTTATGTTTGCCTTACAGGGTGTATAATTTAAGACGAATATCTAAAATATTTTTACAGTTCGTTAAATGCAAGAAAAATGAATGAGGAGAAAATACATGAAGGATAATTGATTTGAAATTT